GTGTCTCTCTGTCTCTCTGTCTCTGTCTCTGTCTGTCTTGTCTGTCTCTGTGTGTCTGTCTCTGTGTCTGTCTGTCTGTCTGTCTCTGTCTGTCTGTCTGGGTCTGTATGTCTGGTCTGTTGTGTGTCTGTGTGTGTCTGTTGGTGTGTGTGTGTGTGTGTGTGTGTGTGTGTGTGTGTGTGTGTGTGTGTGTGTGTGTGTGTGTGTGTGTGTGTGTGTGTGTGTGTCTGTGAGTGTGTGTGTGTGTGTGTGTGTGTGTGTGTGTGTGTGTGTGTGTGTGTGTGTGTGTGTGTGTGTGTGTGTCTGTGTGTGTGTGTGTGTGTCTGTGTGTGTGTGTGTCTGTCTGTGTGTGTGTGTGTCTGTGTGTGTGTGTGCGTGTCTCTGTTTGTGTCTCTGTGTGTGTGTGTCTCTGCGTGTCTCTGCGTGTGTCTCTGTGCGTGTCTCTGTGTGTGTCTCTGTCTCTGCGTGTGCGTGTGTGTGTGTCACGCCCCCGCACACCTCATTTCCTTATGTCGCAGGGACGGAGTGGGTGCAGGGCAATGCATGGGATCGTCCAACGAAGCCCTCCCATAGTTACACCACTTCTACACCCCAGTCCGTGCTTGCATGCTTGCGTGCCTGCTTGCCCGCCTGCTTGCCTGCATCCCTGCACGCATGCAGGCATGCATGCATGTATGCGTGCGCGCGCGTGCCTGTGTGCATGTTTTCTCCCCTCTGTGAGCGTTTTTGCTCTTGCAGACAACGTGAACTCCTATACGGAGGATCATGGAGTGCAGCGACACCTCATAATCCGTGCGGCTGCACACCTGAATCAGAACCTTGACGGGACAGCTGCTGGATGTCACATCATCTCATGGAGTCAGATTTGAAATTCGCTGGAGGTGGGGGCTTCAAGCAACCTTGTGGCTCTCGCAGGTCATGGATCATTCGGATGGGCTATGCAAGCCCGAAACCCTCAAAGCATTCTTTATCATGACACCATCGATCCATGCCTTTGTGCTTCCCATCTCCAGTTAAAAAACACGTTCGATCCTGCAGGATCAAAACCAACCGGAGTGTGCACTTCGTGACGACGACTACCAAATACCCTGCTCAAACAGGGGTCATGATTTGCTGGAGATGCCGTGAAACCATCATCATTGCTACCCCGCTTCACTAAGAAGGCGAGAAAAAGGTGCGTCCACATTCCGGGTCAAAGACTTTCAGAAGGCGACATCATCAGACCGAAGGCAATTTCGATGCCTGCAGAATTTGAATCTCAGCCGTCTGTCATCCCCATGGTTCGGGCATCACATCCGTGCAACATGCTGGCTGCCTACCAGGGCCTGGACTGAGCTCTTCCGGGTAAGCGTAAAGTTTCCGCTGCCATAAAGTACGCCGCTAACGCCACACAAAGGATTTGAATCGTACACTTCCCACACTTGCAGAGCATCCACAGATTTTCCAGCAATCATCCTGGCACTTCCTGAGCTGCTCCGCAGCACGGCCTGGGCAAAGGGGAAGTCTGGGACCGCCTCATCCAGAAACACGTCCAGGCGCATGATTGGGGCCATGAGCCTGAAGACGAAGGGCTGAGCCCTGGCCCTAACTGCGGCGGCCCCCGGTTCCGGTTGGCCCCAGCCTCGGCCCAGCCTTCTCTGTCAAGCCGTGCGCCTGCGCTTCGGGCACTCGCAAACTTCTGACCACAAGCCAAGCCCGGAAATCTTTGAAAGATTGCAGAGCCACCTACAGACCCTTGTTTTGCGACCTGCACAGTGAAAATGATCCTACAGACCAGCAGGCTAGTCGCAGTAAAAGTGAGCACATCATAAATCCTCAGCCCTTGAATGCAACCCGGATGTCCCCACGCCGGAGGTCTGAACGCATTACGGGCCCTCTGCGGCCCGTTCACCTGCATCTTTCCAGCACCGTGAAAACCTTGGAGGTGCATTGTTTGTGCACAGGTGACTTGCGCGCTCTGCAGTGGCTTAGGTGTCATCAAGCCATCCCCTCTTCCCAGGCCCACACATTCGTCGGCAGGCTCCTGTTAGCACATGGTCGAACCTTCCAACTCCCACAATCTTCAAACGCGCTCCGGGCATCCTGTGCCAACACTGCAGCCAACTCCATAGAGTCTTCCGGGTACCAACCTTGGAGAAAGCAATAGGCCCTAGGCACCTTCTCCTGCCAAGGCTACGATTCAAGAGAGTCAGACCACCAAGGCTGAGACCCCAGTGCCCATCGCCTGCCTGACCCGACAGCTGAGTGCTCGAAATCTGCCTTTGCCTGCGTCGCAGTGCCAGGCGCCGGCTACACCGGCCAGGCCTCTCGCACAGGTGTGGCATCGAAGTCCCCGTCCTTGAACCGTGTGCAGCGCTTTGGCGGCTGAGTCTTGCTCCAGGCTCTAGCACTTGCAACCCCTGGGCCATCTCTGGCAATTTCCTCTCCTGGCTGGCCGAACTCAAACCGCTGCTGGGACGCAGCTCGATTCCTGTGCCGAATGCAGAGTCAGGACATGTCAGGTCAAGTCGTTTCCAAGTGCTCTTGGCGCTACGAGTAGCCTCTCGAGGAACCATGAAGCGTTAGACTCCTCGGAAACCACGCAAGGACAAATTGTCGCTGCTTCTGCTTCACTGCATGGCATAAGCCGCTGCAATGAGACACCGGCCAGAGGCTCCGCGGCCAAACTTCAGATGCGATGCTCAGACCCACCTCCGGCCACAAAGGCACCGCGCGCTCGGCGCTCTGACGCACTGGCACTCTAACGAAAAGCTGTTTTTCAGGCGGGACGAAAGGCACACACGGACACAGATACCACATGCAGCCGGCAGCCTCTCTGCTTGACCTGGCATCTCAAGCACAGCGAGGACGTAAGGTCTAAACTTAGAGGCGTCGAGATGTGGGCCACGTGCTTGTGAAAAGCTTTGAAATGGCTGAATGCGCGTCTGCTTGCAGCACTGCAAACGCAGAGCGAACCCACTCGTTTTGTCAGCTTGCCACACACTTTGTCTGTCCCTGACTTCCGCACTTTCGGGGTATCTCGTCAGAGATGAAACATTGGCTCAATGACATAAAAAGCGCATCAGCAAAGGGACTCAACATGAACACTACAACTGGCATGCTCGATCATGCTGATGTGCTTGCACTCGCTCCTGAAAGCGAGGAAAATCTCGGGTAGACGTTCATACGCGCTCTTCTGCTGCTGTCCAACATGTCTTGTCAACAATTCTGGTAGACAGGCTTCACTGAGCTGCAGAACATCTCCGCTGCGCAACACGTCAAGTGCCGCTAGTACTGCCTGCCCAGAGCCTCATTCAAGATGCTCAGCGCTGCCATCAGATCCGTGAAGACTCTTGAAGGCATGGAACCACAACAGTTGTGTGCGCAAGTCAAATCCTGAAGGAGGACGTCAGACAAGCAGAATTTCCCAACACGGGGATTCGTGACGGCTGGTGCTGGCAGACGACCACTATCTTGTCTTGCGGCGATGATAAGATGCAGACCTGTACTGTGGTTTGGCTGCCACACCAGGCCTATCCGAGAACTCTGCCGGTCCGATGAAGCGGACTTTGCTCACTCCCGGGTATGCTCCGTTGAGAGCTCCACGCGCTGCAGCTCACAAGTACAAGAATGGCAGCTTCTCGCTGCACCGCGTCGGCGAGCAAGAAGGCAGAGACAAACATTATCACGGCCTCACCACCGAAACTGAGGAATCTGAGCCTGCTCGCGGGACTGACGTTCCCTGCATTCATCATACATGCAATGTGGTTTGCTAACATTCTGGAATACTCTTTGATGTTACTTATGCGCACCCCTCACAACCGCCACTTCCCCCCTTTGCAGCTCTCTGTCGTTCTTGAGTGGTTGGCTGTCTCTTTTGTGTGTCTTTCTCCTTTGCTTTGCGTTGCGTATGGGCAGTCGTGTTCTCTCTGTCTCTCTCTCTCTCTCTCTCTCGCAGTTGTTTCTGGCAAGGGATGAGGAGCTGACTCACCCGCTCCCCGCACGGGGAGTTGCAGGCCACACGGGGTCCCCCAGTAGTAAACTGAGCCATCGACCACCATTAGAGCAGCCCGCAGACCCTTTTGGAACTGAAGTCTCGAGGAGAGAATACGAGAGGGGACATCCTGCCTGAGGGGTCCCCTGTCTCCTCGATGACCCGCTACAATGCCCAAGTCTTCTCACCGCCTATTAAGTTGAAAGCTCACCCGATTCCGCGCGGTGGTGACTGGCATCCACTCTGTGACATTGACCGGGCTGCACATACGACATCTTGTCTTGACTGCTGCCACGACCTATATCATAATTTAGAGAAGCATCGCCCTCCTGACAGTCTTACAATAGTCGGATTGGAAACAATAGGAGTCAGATGCAAGGGCACGGCAATACTCTTTGCAGAAAGCCAGGGGGCCTGTCAAGTTAAGCCGGCTACATTAGCGTCTGCGGTCTCACTTGAGGCTCTTGGGAAGCAGTTAATTAGGCGGCATTTAGGCAGTGCATTCTGCCACGCGCTGCGGTCCGAGGCGTGCAAGCACTGGGTAGTCTATGGGGCAGCCTGGCCCAGGTCGGGACCCGAGCTCCAGGAGTGCAGCCCATGTCAAACTCGTCGCTGCTTGTCGTTCGACACAGAGAGAGGAGCCTCGAGCAATTTCTCCCCTGATGTGAATCTATCGGAGGAGCCTGATGTCGTCAGTGAGCCCGAGTTTGCGTGACAGGAGGCAGAAGCACGGCTTTCGTCGTGTGGGAGGATGCGATACCACTGGCCACGGTAACAGATCACAGGCGCTCCTCCGAGATAACCCAAATGTGAGACATTCTCTTGAGCTTCCCGCGGGCTTCCCGCGCACTTGCCAGCCCAAGTCGGTGAGACCATGAAACATCGGAGGCCGTCAGCACGCGACTTCATGCTGAAGGCACAGAATTGGCCAAATGCATGCCTCAATTTGCAATCCAATATTACTCTCAACGGCTTGGACCATTGAATCATTGCCAACATGCCCATCTGCCGCCACGGCGGCTGTCCACTATTTCTGGACAATCATGAAGCCATCCTTGAATTTGTTGTGCAGCGCTTCTGCCGCTTCCTTGGCTGCTGGGCTGTGCTGGTGCCTCCAAGCCCTGGCACTTCAGTCCTGTCCACGTCCACGTGCCTTCCCCGTGCCCCGCCTATGACACCTACTAATGAGGCCATGGAATGCAGCTGCCGTGTGAAGTCCGTGTGAAGCTAACTGCCAGCATACAAAACAACACTCACACACGACAGAAAAAGATTGAGATGCCTCGAATGCAACTCAGCCGCGAAATATTTGATTTCCGGAGGGATCCATGACTCCAAGCATTTCCTTGGCATTCTTACATCTCCAAATGGTGTCCCTTGCCGTGGCAACCGACCCACCCCACACCTCGCCACCTCGCCTCAACCTCGTGCCAATGATTGCATCGCACGCACTGCAAAAAGACCTCCCAAAAGATCTCTCGCCTGCTATGGGCCTGAGGTACGCTGTACGCTGCGCCGCCTGCACACATGCCACTCGGCGTGAAACCCAAGAGTTCGTGTCTCCGTGGCAGGGGTCCGACCGGGCTGTGACGACGGGACGCGTCAGTGAAACTGAAAATGTCCCCGGCATTCTCAGCATGGAACTTTCTTGCTGGGTTCGCCCTGGGCTTGATGTCGGAACTTCCGCTGGAAGCAAACAAACGAGTCTCCTGTTGGAGGAATACCTGTCAGTCGTCACACTGAGACCTTGAGATCTTCATCTTTTCCTTCCTTCCTTCCTTCGGGGGGTCTCGCTCTCTCTCCCTCTTGTTTCGTCTCCCCGTCTGCGCCGGACCGACCTGGGTTCTTGCGCTGAGGACGAGATCTCATGAATTGAACTTCAAGCGGCTTTGCAGTTGGCTGCTGTAGCATAGCCTCCAGGATCTCCTTGGCTGAGGCAAACACGCCCACCGAGCGCTCCTCCGGGAAGTGATCATGAAATGCTTCTTTTTTTTGCAGCCCGGCGGCCCACCATCCCTTGTCCCTTACAGGCCAGACCGGATTCAGAGGAAAGGTGTAGCCTTCGTGGACCTCAAGAACAGGCCCCATGTCTTCATACTGTCACGACTACGGAAAGATTGCATCAGAATGACGGCCTTCACAGTGAAGGCTCTTGGAAGCATGCAAAGAGGCGCAAGTCGCATGCTTGGCAACTGGAGCTGCACGTATCTTCTTATGAACCCGTCCTGCTGACAGACAATGTGAAATCAATCGTGTCAGGCGCACCCTCTTCAGGAGGAAGTCTCGAAGACCGGCCTGCCACGTGTGACTGAGCGGTCGATCTTCCATTCAATCTTGGATTAGTACCGACAGCGGATAGCAGCATTGCACCTCAGTGGTGTAGTCCCAGGGCTTGCCCTCGAAGCCCTGCCAGACAATGAGGTACTCATCGTCCAACTCCTCGCGGCATCTGGTGAGTTTGTGAGTGTGTGTGTGTGTGTGTGCGCACTTCATCAAGGCAAGAACCTGCCGATCCGACTGACCCACTGGCTGCTTCTCTCCCCCAGCCCCTGAAGCAATCGGGAGACCTGCGGAAAGTACAGGTTGCAGCCTCGGGTGCTCTGCACACACTAAAACCGTCCAACTCGAAGTTGCGCGCACACACACACACACACACCTCTGGAAAGCCAGGTCACACTCAGCACCATGGCGCACAGCGCCACAGGGTGCCGTCTCTGCAATGACCTTTGTTCGGAGATGATTCATGATTCATTCCAGCTTGCACTATGACGGATACAGCTCACACTCTCTCTTTTCCACCATCGCACTCGCTGCTGCTTCTAGTTCGGTACTTTGAAGGAAACCCGGACACTCCGGGATAGTGCTTTGGTAAAAACCTCGAGGTAGCGAAATGACATGGACAGAAAGGTTCCCACCTTTCGAAGAAGGGCACACCCAATGCACTTAACACCCCAAAGCACAATGACAGCGTCAGCCCAATTCGTCTTGGACGGAATATACTCGAAGAAGACAGAGGTACGCAAAGCGAACATGGCCACATGAATAACTGTGCAAGCCGTTCCAGGAGAACTCGAGCGGCCGCGGATCAACGACATGAGCGCCGCGATATTGTCGATATACCAATAGCCACGTCTGCCACGAAAAGACGGAGCTCGGACCGCAAGGGCGTACGAGACCATCGCAAGTTCAAGCTGGCTATTTCATGGTCGCCAGGAGTGAAGCAGGCGTAAACTTCTGGGATGAAGCTCTCTCACACCTCCGCCCCATCTAGCCAGATAAGATGGAAACCCCCGGAACCCTGGCCCGGAATGTCTTCGGTTGCGTCACTTGCAGCAACAAAGTGGAATGACATCGAACTCCCGCTCTGGGCGGACAGCAAGCACGGCCCGGATAAGAGCAAAGCAGGCATGGATAGGGGGGTCAGCTCCCGACCGCGTTCATCCGCTAGCTCGCGGATGGCACGAAGCCCGCCGGCCCCGACTCGACCGTACATGCCCTGCTCCAGAAAGTTGCATGTACCATAAAGTTTGGCAGCAAGGCCCGGAAGCAAAGCCTGAGAAGCGACGGCTTGGTCCAGCATATCTTGCACCTTCTCCACAAGGCGGTCACGCACAAAGAACCGCACGACGCCACTGGCGAGGCAATCAGTAAAGTCGAAATTAAGACCGAGAAAAGTCCCAGTGAGAGCCATCTGTTGCCGCTTGTTCAGACTTGCAAAGGATTCTTGAGCTGAGCCTTTTGAGGAAGCACAATCGGTGAGATGGGCATCATCAAAATACATGAACACCAAAACTGCCAAGAGCCGTCTACCCAGAGCCTCCTCTGCTCGACTGTAGCGGTTGAAGCTTGTCACCGCCAAAGGCAACCCAAACAACAAGCCGGTATAGAGCTGAAAGGCGGGTTCTCCCCACTTGGCATGCCACCATGCTACTACGCAACAAATCGCCATGCCAATGCCGGTACGCCTCCGGCCAATCCTCGCCCCCACCCTCAATGGAGTCATCCGCGACAGCTCGCCAAAGGGCTGCTTCATCCAGCAAAGTCGACGCATGCTGAGCAGGACGAAGGGGGGAACAGAGAACCATTCAGATCAGAGCTCGATGCAGACTCGCCGCAAGCGTCAGCATTGTCGATGATACACTGCATCCCGCTATTCTGGCTGATAACGCATCGGGGAATGAGACAGGGGAGACCCCCACGACACGAGGAAGCAAAGCAACGCCAACAAGCCAAAATACCGGTGGCGTGTAACCTTGCGAAGCTGGCGCTGCTGACGTGTTCGAAGGCTGGAATGACCAACGCCGCTTTATTTCCTTGATGGCACCCATCGATCGCCTCCGCCTGTCCCTCTCAGGCTACCCGCTGACTCGCGGTCACCTCCGCGGCGTAGCACAAATCGAGGTCCAGGGCTGGGGCTTGCTCGAACGGAGTCGGGTACCTGGCAAGATCACGTGCTAACTCCTGCTGTCCCTCAGCAGTCCTCTGCCACTGCCACTGCTGAGCGCTGACCAGCTTCGGCACAAGTGCGCCGTCCCACTCGTCATCTCGCGCCCGACGCTACTGCAAGTAATCGGTAAACGATGAGGTCCTCGACTCGACCATGGGAAACCGGCAACCGGCGAGGAGCTTTTCATGGAAGAACGAGGCAAATGCAGTGATCGTGAGCATAAGGAATGAAGGCGCCCATGGGGCGGGCAGCGCGGAGGCCGCAGCACCCGACGACCACTGCGGTGCACGGCACGTCGGGGCCGGGTGTGGCACACCCTGAGGGCGGCCGGCATCAAAGACAAGGCCGGCGAGCACATCGCCTTCACAGACCTGTGGCCTGTGAGTGACAAGGGGCAGTCGCACGCCAGAATCTTACCCTTCAGCTGAACCAGATCGGTCTGCAAGTTGGAGACCACATACAAAGAGAGCCATTCAGGCAAAACAATTGTACCCAGGCACAAACGGGTGGCAGCTGATGTGAGTGGTGCCCACGACTGACGCGCACCACGCCTGGCTCGAGGTCTTGTGGGCGCGGATGACACTCGAAACCGCACTCGCAGGGGCACCCGAACAGCCTCGGCCTGAGACCCAAAATGATGGCCAGTGGGGACATTGCCCATTCCCGCAAGTCCGCAAGGCGCGCGAGTCGATTTCCAACCAATGCTCTCGCCGCTCCACGCATTGTACCGGTGACCCGCGAAAAACATGCAGCCTTGCGAAGCCGAGCCGACATGCCCACCAGCTACAGGCCACGGCGACGTGGAACGCCAATCGCCGTGTACTTGGTTTAGCGCCGTCCTCCGAAGGCTGCCAATGCTCTGGGTGGTGGTGTGGTGGCAATTCCGGGCCCGGGTCAACTCCTCCCACCACTGACCAGTAGCCCACATCTCGGCCTCCTGGGGGGGATGCACCAATGCAGGCTGTCGTTAGGATTCTCCCGGATGGCACCCCGCACCACGATCAAGCATCTTCTGCTGCTCCTCCAAAACAAACTTGCAGGCACAGTTGTCCTTAGAAACACGGCGCTGATCTTGAATGTTCAGCCCGGGCAAGCCCATAGGATGTTGGTCGGCCATTGAAAAAGCTTCAGGGGAATCTCTCGGATAACTGACTTTGTGCTGCAAATCCCCGGCTCAGCAACTGCCACCCGCGAGGGCCCCTCCCTTCCCAGAGCGGGTGCTGGCTTCATCGCTAAGGTCCCAAGAAAGGCCGGCCAGCTTCACGAACCAGCGTAGCCCAGCCAACGCCCTGGTCGGAGCCTGCGTACCGTTCACGCAGGATGTCACTCAGGTGAAGAGCTCACGGAGGGCGCAAAGCCCGGGCCACACCGTGGCATGCTCACCCACTCCTGGCGGCGCTCGCCCGTAAGGTCAGCACGCTGGCCCCAGCATCAACCAAGAAGTCCGCCAGTCGGGTGCCTCCTTCCGCCGGCCCCGCCCTGCGGACTCCGAACCATACGGCTCAGGCGCACAACTGGCCGATCACGGCCCTCTGAAGCTGCCCCGGCAGCCACGGCCCGATCCACGAGGCTGAGCACCGCGTCGTCCTCCTTGTCCTGAGAAAGCTCGCACCGCTGCATCCCGGTCCCCGACCCCGGAAGCGCATCCAAGGCTAGAAAGCAAGAGAAGAATCATGAGCGGCTGTTGCTTGAAGATAAGATGTTGGTTTTCAGACTCATGTCAGGCCCACCGCACAGGGTTCCTGAGGACGCTGAAGAGGCTGAAGAATGCAGCCCACACGAGCGTGAGGCCGAGCGGGCCGAGCACCTTGAGTACATCCATGTTGGATATTTCAACTTCTGCAGCTGGCACTTTAGTTGCTTGCGAGTGCATGAATTCACTGACGCAACTGCGTGGGGGGTGCCTTCAAGCGAACATCAAGACTCCATCCAGGTCATGGTGCGCACCCTCTCGGCCTCCATCGCTTGAGTGGCATAATTTCCGGACATTGGCCACGTGCAGCGGGACAGGCACAGTCAGGGCACGCTGGGACCTGGCGGCAAACGAAGCATGAGGGCATACCGCAACTCTTGCAAAAAGCCGGCCATCCCTGCCTCCACATCCAAAACGCGAGCATCCACGAAGGAACCGGGAAGTAGGCGGGCTCACACCAAACACGCTCCCCTTGCTGCCAATCCCGCCACAAAAGCCAAACTTGCTCAGGGGTCGCTCCCTGGCATGACGCTCCTGTATATGGCGAAGCAGCCGGTTGGCATGGTCGAGCAGCATGTCGGTCGGCCATACACCCGACCCCAGGTTGAAAACTTCCACCAAGGACGCCATGGTGGTAGTTCTCCCAGGCTCGAGCCAGCGGGTACCACGATAGAGCGCCGGGCATATTTGCCGACAAACGGAAACTGAAAGCCACCCCTGCCTCCGAGGCAGCCGACCTCAACACAAGGCAGGGTGCGGATGGCAGGCACGCCAAGTGGTAGGCCTTCCAGCAGGTCCGGCGGAGGTGGGTGATAATGCTGCACCTCCAGCACAAAGCCCCAAAGCAAGGCCGCGTCATGGGACTCACCGGCCTCAACCAACTGACGAAGGCGAGCTCTGAACTCCAAGAGCGCGGCCGGGTGAAGAAGCTGCTCCTCCGTCTGCACAGCCAAACGGGAAACAGCCTAAAGCATAACGGGTCACTCCCGCCTTAGAGGGTCACTCCCTCGGAACTGCAAAATTGATGGGGTCACCTCCCCTTCCAAAATCAGCTGCCTGCCGTTTTGTTTGGATCACACTTGAGCCAAAATGGCAGCCAGCGGCAAGCTTAGAATGATGCATGTGCACCCAAGCCTGCCAAACTCTACACATGTATACGGCAACATTCGGGATGACCTTGCATGCGTGCATAATTGACACCACAGATTTTAGCTGCTCCGAGGACACAGAAAGTATCAGCAGATTCGACCAAGCAACGTCTTGAATTAGGCGATACCTGCGCGAGACGTGACAGGGGTGCAACTTTCAGGTCGCATGACGGGCTTGCACGCTCTGCAGGCCCAAGGTGCGATGTTGGGTCGCCGAAGCCGAACTTTGGGATCCTGTACCAGCGGTAGCTTGAAAGCGAATTGAGCAATCGAGCGGTCATCTGTCTGCTCTCTTAGTCCGCCACAGAGGATCATTTTTGATGCACGCGGCTTGAACTCTTCTTGTCCCATTCTTTTAAATTTTGCTCTGTGGTTGGGGCCATGTTCCCGTATTCTCTGCAGTCGAGCATCACTGGGTGGAATCCTCGCTCGTTTTCTTTGGCCAGGACTTCCAGCCAACGCGAGTTCCAGGATTGGTGGTCCAGAGATCCGAGGATGTCCTGCAATAGAGCATGAAGGGGAAGAGCTGCACGATTCATGCACCAGCACACACTCTACAGCTGTCTTGAGACGTTGCTGTCCTCTGTGTGTGTTAGGAGCCACTTGATCAGCTCTGCCTGCCGAATCGCGCTTCGTCTTCGTCAGCACTTTGACATCTACGGCTGGTGACAGGTAGAAGTGCCGCTAGCCTCACCGTGTCTGATAGAAGCAACTGGGCCTGTTCTGCCGGCAAGGACTCGTAGACCATGTTCATGGAGCCAACCGTAAAGGTGTCAAAATCTGACACGACCTGCCAGCTTGCAGCAAGCTGTCATTGAGCCTCCCCTTGCATACCAAATTGAGTCTGAATGTCAACGTGCTTCTGGGAACTGCCCCAACATGTAACGAGTGCGCCAACATGTTCCGGAACTTGGGCTCTCAATTCAGATAAAGTCCTAGAAGGGCTACAGAGCCAGACACACCATGCCACATGCAACGTTGCGCGACTGGGGATTTAAATCTTGCGGCCAGGCACCGGCTTGACAAATGCTTCGGCGTATGCGATCAACAGGCCCCGTGGATTCCTGCAAATGTTTCAGCCAGGCGGCTCAACAAATGTGCAAGTTCCGTTTCGGAGCCAACGGCTTCAAGCAGACGACGAATTTAGGCCATCCGATCTTCACCACCACTATCGATCTTCACCACCACTAATAATCACCGAACCGCACTGCCGCGCTCTCTGCTTGCCAAGGTGCATGACTTCACTCTCATCGTTCTGGTACAGAACGACCTGCGGGCTACGAGGTATAATCTCTAAGCGCCATAACTCGTAGATTAACTGAAACACCGGTTAAACACCGATGGAGCATTTCGATGCACCCAAAGGTAGATGCACAAACGGCTCACGGCGGCACTGCAAGCACTCTAAACAACGCATCATCACAACGTCAATTGCCCGATTGATTGCAGGTGCCTGCGGATCAGACTTCCCTCTGATCGCATGCCTGAAATTGCAAACACACAAGGCATGGAATTCCCGTGCGACATTCTGAACTGGGAGCTGCCTCAGGGGCGACTGCGACTGCAACGAAAGAAGCTACAGTACCGGCGGACGAATTGGCAGTGTTTGGCTCTGCCCGCCTAAAGCAAGGGCCACATGTCAACATGTCAGCTGAGTTGCAAATTCATGTCCATGAAGGCGGGCTCAGATCTGCGGCCTGTTTCCCAGCCCATAACCTCAGCTACAGAGGCTGACCCCAGGCACCAAGACCTTCGCTCTTTCACAGATTCTACATACCTGCTTTCCGCACCGAGTGGCCGGAGAGATGTCTCTCTGCATGATGTAGGCCTGAAATCCACACATAAGACCAGTGGGAACAAAAGGCGTGGACGTCATGACCCTGACCCGACACGATGCCACTTCCACGTGCCTCCCGCATGAGGGGCTCCGGCATGTCGATGCCCCACCTTGTCTGGGAGAACTTTCAGATGAAGCAGAAGCGGAGGGGCATTTCTGCCTTAGCCCTTTTTGTACGGAACGGCCTTCATCCCCCATTCGTGCATGGGAGCTCTGACGGTTCAAGCATGGATGCGCTCTCAGCTGACACGTGTTCTCCGAAGCTGGCGTGTCAGGCAGTACGTGCGGTGCAAAAGTCCAGCCACGGTTGAATCTGACACTCACGCATACTGGTGCTACCAAGCAACACATCAGGTTTATACGAGTCCTTCCAGGAGACAGTGTTTCAGGTCGGGACAACTGAGAGCTGGCCCATGTGCATGAAGCAAAGCTGAAGCATGAAGTAGATCCAAAACAGTGCTGTATAGTGGCTTTTCTTTCAGCTTTTGACTGCTGACCGCGTGGGATCATTGACTCATCATCAGCATCATCATCATCATCATCATTGTCGTATTCTTCTATCTCTTTTTCGAAAAATCTTTGCTTGAACGAATCATTCCAACGCGAACTCGTTGTTCGAGAAGACTGCGCACGAGTTCCGCACAGAAGCTGCGAGATATGAACCGTGTGTTAAGCCTGCCGCCTTGCTCGCAGCCTCCTCACAGATATGGGGCAAACTTCTCACAGATGTCTCACAACTTCGTCAGAAGTTACACGTCCCTCAGAATTCTCAGATCGAGAAAGCTCGGAAATCTGCGCTCCTTACACCCGATTCAACACATTTTTCTCCCAGACAGGCCGGCAAAAACTCACAGACGCCACAATTTCTTAGGTTTCTCAAAGAAGAGGCTCGTTTTCGTCATTTCATGATCAGACGACCACTCTAAATCGTGGAGATGTATGTAGGATCACTGGGACAAAGGACTTCAGTAGACCATTGCCCTCCACCACCTCGCCAGTAACAGTGAAACGACGGAGGCGAAACTCTGTGCGAAGGCAGGTGGCCCAACCCGAATGCCTCGACAATACCCCGACCCCATCCAGAACTTCATGTTTGCAATATCACAGTTTCCACCCGTTCAGAGCAAGTTCATAGTTTCCATTTGCAGCTTTGACAGAACTTGACAGGCGCTCCGGCTTCGTGCAAGCTTTGCGCCGGGACGGGGGAATAACTGCCACGTTGTCTTCGGGAATCATGTGGAACTGAATTTCGTCAATGCAACTTAGTTCGCCAAGTTCGGTCGATTATGGGCCCCTGTTCTTGCATGAGCCTCGCTGGGCGATATGCACCGTGCAGCCAACGAACACATGCGTATGCAAAGACATTGGCTGAGACGGGGAACGGACCATGAACGGCAGGGCCACGCCACGGAAAATTTGAAGCTGGCGTACACCGAGCCGAGCAATTCTGTCCGCTCCTCGTCTTTGAGAGACCGGTCATCGATTTTTACCGACGACACAGTCTCTGCGAGGACAGCTTGCAGCACCTGCGACACGGCCCTCTCTTGCAACTTTCTGGACTAGCCGGCAAGCCGTCCAGAATCAGAATCCCCATTGACCGAGCCTTGCGTGCTTCCTCTCTGGCAGCCTTAGACTTGTAGTACCTAAGCCACTCAGAGCTGAGATCTGTGTCCGAAGCAAAACTTCTCACCTCTGATTCTTAGAGGCTTTTTCATGTTCTTCAAAGCGGGAGGTGTGAGTGAAGGAACAAAGTCGGGGCACACGACCACCCGCGAATCTGCTGGCGACTCCTCAATGACCTGTTTGTGCTCGTTCTCACTGATCCTTGGAGCTCGTTTGTCCTCTCTGAAAACTTGCGACGGTGGCACTCAGCGATGCGGCCGAGAAGCTGCACAAAAGGAACCAAGCCAGAAAGAACGCCTTTCTTTGCAGACTTTCCTTTCACCTGGCAACTTCACGATGATGCAACGAACCACTCAACCGTCTGCATGCCTCTTTTGCTACGGCTGACCACAAGCCAAGAGGCGTTCAAGCCCTTCCCGACTGCCGAGCCGGACAGCATCTTTGCAATGGCGTCCTGGAACATGCGGGAGGCCAGAGGTACTTCGGAACAAGCTCAAGAGACATATCCTGAATGCGGAGAAGACATTACGGCAACTTGAAGACCAAGCTGACAAGACATCTGAAGCGCTGTTGCAATGCGTCCTTGCTCGTTGGCCTATACACCGCGAACCAGGAGGTTTGTTCACCTGAAGTGTCACAGCATGTATCTCGCACCGGAATGCAAATCTCTGCACTGTGCGCTGCTGGATGGTGAAACCTTGGTTGAACCCCACCTGCCGACTTTTCCTCCCTTGCTCGCCATGGTACCGACTGTTCCCTCCAGCTTGTGCGCGTCCAGCGAGCCTCTGGGTCCGCGGCTGTCGCCAGCCTCGCAACGGGCTTCTCCAAGTTTGCTGCCCGAAATGACGCGTCCGAGCCCCTTTGCGGATGCAGACAGATAGAACAGTCCAGTTGGCTGGACGTTATGTTTTCAAATTCGAAATACCTGCTGCCCCACGTCACAGTCTTTCTGCGAGGCAGAGAATCGAAAAGCAGGAGAGAGCACAGCAGGGAAGACTTTCAAGTGCCGTCAGGCTTGGTCAACTTCCATCGCCAGGAAATGCTTGATTGGCGTGAAGCATGAGATTCCAGGCTTCGCAAGGTGGCTAGAACGGAAGAAAGACACAGCGCCCTCCTTTCTGCAAAACCTTTTCACGTCACCGCGGCCTGGTAGAAGTCGGCGATGAGTTTTCGAGGATCTGTGAGATACTGCTGCCTTGCAACTCTGCTTCTCTACACCTTTACATCTCAAACTCGGGGCCAGATTTCACCATGCTACAACCTACAGCCTTCTCGGCCCTCTTCGAGACAGTTCATGCGATGTCATGTTATGAGAGCTGGCCCAAGCTGCTGTTGCAGGTCGTTCATGGAACCCAAAAGCCGCTCGAACTTGCCCCGGCTGAGCACAAGGACTTCGACCTGTTTCGAAAGATCACAGCACAGTACGGATCAGTCAGGCTGGGCATTGATCATCGAGACACTTACACTCGGGAGTACCAGGCGGGGTTCAAGACGACGGTCAGCTAAGCGATAAATGAACCAGGCTGTCAGATGGGTCACAAGAAAGGCCACACCGACGTAGCAACAAGTATGGAATGCCCCAATCACAAGTCCAAATTGAAGGCACCAAGACTGCAAAAAGCGAATGCACAGGCACCTCGGTCACGCATGTCACAGATGCTGCGCGCGGCTCGTTCTTGAGAAGAGAGCGTTCTCCGAAGAGGTTCCCCGCGTGTAGCCTGACCTGGGGTTTGTCTTGCAAGCGCTACGCAGCAGGAGTCCAAGGTTTTGGCATTAGCCGTTGCGGGATGTCGGGTGTGACCCATGTGCAAGGTACGAGAACGTCGTGTGGAAGATGTGACTAGCCGCTTCGCATGTAACTGCCAGTCGCATCTCCAAGCCAACGTGCTGAAAATTCAATCGGCCTTTCATCTGAAGCCGGTTCAGGGCTGCAGCAGAAGCTCGACACGAGACCAGAATAAGGACTGAATGGCGTTGAAACTTTTGAAGTTGGCGAAAAGCAGCCAGACAGATCTGCAGCCCTTCGCACATAGACAACCTTTCTTAGGAAAGCATGCATGTTCAGCCCACCATCTGTTCAGCCTGACCAATCGTGAGGCTCGGACATACTCTTGCTCATCATCGCCATTCTTCACCCAGACTCGCACTGTCCCCATCGAAATCAAGAAGAACTCGGAGCCTTCAGGGTAATCTCACCGGCTGTGCACAGTGTACAATGTGCGGAACTCAGGGGTCGGAGTCTGCCAAACAAGCTCAGACATGAAAGCATGTGCCCGTCAAGTCCTTGTTCTCCCTGCGTGACGATGTTTTCACCAGGATCAAACCTGCACGAGATCATGCGGTTCGTCGGCCAATGCTTTCATGGCTCCCCGCGGGCCTGCGAAGGTGGAAGGCATCGCAAAGCTTCTCGAGAGCCTGACAGTCGGTGATCACCATCACGCCGCATTCGTGTTCGCGCGGGCGACGAACACAATAGCGCAGCATTCTGGATACTGACGGACAAGCATTAAAAGCTTGCGACCCATGCTTTGTCGTTCCCTGCGAAAAGACACAATAGCAAACATGGTTGGAAGCAAAGTGTGCTGACAGAACCCATGCAGTTTCGAAACAAATCCAGAATAGGTTGCTGCGCAAGGTCCACCAGACCATCTGGCTAACAAGAAAGTCGGCACGCGAGCCTCATCTTCCATCATCTCAAGCCTCGAACACGTCGCACCCACAACCAAGCAAGATACTCGAATTCGAAGCAACATTGCAGATAGCATTGCGCAAGCCGACGGGTCACATTTTGTATGTCTGCCTACATGAATAGACAGCACGAGAAAGAGACAGAGGGAGAGAGAGAGAGAGAGAGAGAGAGAGCCACACACAGACACACACACGCACACACATACACAAGCAGTTCTGCCGTTCTGCCTACACGTGACTTGCGGACATACATGCAAAGGCATGCGTGAACCTTCGGTGCATGCATACATACGTGCACGCATACAGACATCCTTACTTACCTACTTACATGCTTACATTACCATGCATACTTACAGACATACTTATATGCAAGCATGCATATATGCAGAGATGTACACACATACGTACATACCTACAGACAGGCAGACAGACAGACAACAGACAGATAGACAGACAACAGACGGACAGACAGACAGGCAGACAGACGGACAGACAGGCAGCCCGTAGAGACATGCAGTTTACACAAACGAGAACGCGTACACACGCATACCTATTGTACATATATACATACACCTACACACATACATGTGTTATACATATATGTATATAGACACATAGTTATCTATATGTGTGCTTGTGTGTGTGCGTGATCCTTACATACTTTTGCATATGCATATCATGTGTGTGTGTGTGTGCGCGCGTCTGGGCGGTGCAGGTCAAAGCCCGCATGCAAACACGTCCACACACACACAACTGAGAAGGCTTTCTGTAGACATGTCCGAACGTCCAAATACCTGCTGTGTTGGTTGTAATTGTCAGATTGCAGCACCCGTGCGAACTACAAGTGCACATGCCCTCATGAACATGACTGTAAAGAACATGACTGCTGCAAGACTGCAAGACATGTTTCAGAGAGCATGTAAACTGTTTCTGTAAAAGCAAAACTAGTTGCACACCAGCTGTGTACGCAGACACCCAGGCCGTGCTGGTACTTTTGCAGGTACGTTTTCCTGGTCACTTCAAGTGGAGCTTCGTTGGCGACGGCCACTTGAGCAACCCCGTCGCCCCCTGCAGATATAACAATTCTCGCTGAAAACATCATGCACAAAAAACATGTGGAGCAAAGTTTGTCGCATGTACAGCAGAATAACACAAACAAGCCCCAACTGGGGCAAGTCCTCAAAACAGTACACAACGGCCTGGAGGCTCAACACGGGACTGAGGCTCAACAACATCAAAGCAACACAACCACCTACACAGGCCCCAAGGCTCCAACAAGGGACTGAGTCTCAACAACAGAAGCAAACAAAGTGGAATGAATTAGGGTTTAGGGTTCTCATTCGTGACAGAATACAACTTCGGCCATCGTTCATCCCAATCAATGTTGCGTCTCATGCAAGTCCATCCAAATAAATAAATAAATAAATATCCTCTTCACGCATCAACGTCTGCCTTAGCCATAGCCGAACCCTGCTGTAAGCTGCAAGTCCATCCAAATAAATAAATAAATATCCTCTTCACGCAATCGATCATTTTTGTAAGTCCAGGGAATGGGAATGTGTTCTTTGTAAATTGCAGCCTTCCTCGAGACTGCACTCCGGAATACAAGCCAAGCAGGACCTGACTGCAGATCTCAAGCCGGAATGATCTCCAAATGCAACTCCGAATGCGACTCCGATCTGATTTCCAGAAATGTGATTTCCACTCAGTGATCTCCACTTGAACATGTTGTGAAACGGAAATGATCTCCCGAGCTGCTAACACAAGAACCCCGGTGGGCCGGCAACTTCGCCGTATAGCGACAAGGCCCTCATGAGGGAGCTCTTGCCGAACACAACTGAGAATGCTTTCTGTAGACATGTCCGAACGTCCAAATACCTGCTGTGTTGGTTGTAATTGTCAGATTGCAGCACCCGTGCGAACTACAAGTGCACATGCCCTCATGAACATGACTGTAAAGAACATGACTGCTGCAAGACTGCAAGACATGTTTCAGAGAGCATGTAAACTGTTTCTGTAAAAGCACAACTAGTTGCACACCAGCTGTGTACGCAGACACCCAGGCCGTGCTGGTACTTTTGCAGGTACGTTTTCCTGGTCACTTCAAGTGGAGCTTCGTTGGCGACGGCCACTTGAGCAACCCCGTCGCCCCCTGCAGATATAACAATTCTCGCTGAAAACATCATGCACAAAAAACATGTGGAGCAAAGTTTGTCGCATGTACAGCAGAATAACACAAACACAAACGCACAAGCAGACAGACAGACAACCAAACAGAGCAAAAGAGACACGGAGATGGAAGCTTGTGAAAATATCACACGGCGTCATGGCATCCCATGCTCACTGGAAGTGTTTCTGACACGACATACGCTCGGGGGTCTTGGCAATAAGCTTCTTCCCTGACCTGTGTCTGTACGCAACGAAAGGTGTGTAGCCGACTGGTGGCCACAAGGCCACAGCATCTATCGTGTCACACCCAAATGAATTCAAGAGGCATTTTTGAGCTCTTCAGCATGTGCTTGTACCTGACGTAGGGCTGCGCTTTATCCCCCAGTCGCAACATAAACTGGGGTCTGTCAGAACGTTGTTCAATGCTTCAGTTGGGTTTGCTCGGGAGGCGTGGTGCCAGGATTGGAGTGGCATGGGACAATAATCTGTCTGGTCTTTGTTGGACCAAGCTTCCGAGAGCGCTGTCGGAAGGACATCCGTGTGCAGAGGGTGACCTGCCCACTACATCAACATGTCGGTGCTTTTGTTCACGACACAGCAGCTCTCTGAACCCCCTGGTAGGGCAAACCTCCGCATCGCTGAACTGGTGTTGACGATTCAGCCAAGGCACATATTCGCTGTGGGTAAGCTTTGCCACGATCGTCTCCCCCTCCGCCTGCACTGTGAGATCATCCAGGAAGTGATTGCTTGAACAACCGCAGCCCCCATGCCAAATTGCGACTTCAACAGATATCTCTCCGCAACAGAATGATGACCTGCTCTCTTTGGTTTCTTTGGGCCTATAAAATGTAGCCCTCCTGCAATGCGAGCATGTGCCTTCAACGAGTATCTGCGCGGGTACGCGAACAGGACAGCCACCTCGCGCACCAAGAAATGCTTGCGGGCACTACTTCGGAAGAGATGACTGTAAACGGCAATCAGCTTCAAGGCCTCGTCGACTAGATCGCCCTGCTTCTTTTTCAAAACAGGCTCTGCCATACCACCTCGGCACACTCAAAACGGCCGGCGCCAAAACACGTCATGCAACTCACAGCCAACCCTGTGAATGATGTTGCTCCTACAATCTTGCAGCAGTCCGTTGAAATTGCATGACTGCCTGACATCCTCAACTCACAAGCGTGCGAAATCGCTCGTGAACATTTGCAGGTCTGAGCTCTATGCTTTGGTAACAGGCAAGAGTTCCCTCGAGCACAACCTCAGGCAGCGAGCTGAATAGTGGCATGTGTTAGTTAGTTAGTTAGTTAGAGAGAGAGAGAGAGAGAGAGAGAGAGAGAGAGAGAGAGAGAGACGAAAATGCGAGACAAATCCGTCGCTCAGATTGGAAGCATCCCATGCTGGCAGTTGTAGGTCTTGAATGGTCTTGAGCACAAACCCCTACATTCTGATTCAGGCAAGATTCGAAAAGGCTGTCTGCCCGTTCACCCTCCTCTGCGAAGAGCTCCCCGTCATACCGCAGATGAGTTTCCTTCAATGCTGACACAAATCAAAGGGCATGGGTTCTCTCTTTCTGCCGGCTTGTGACTGTGGCTTGTCGTGAAGGCGTGAAGCCGCTCTCTCCCCGTCTCCCCCTCTCCTTCTCTCTCTCTCTCTCTCTCTCTCTCTCTCTCTCTCTCTTGCTTGCACTCGGACACGGCGCCGTTCTCTCTCTCTCTCTCTCTCTCTCTCTCTCGTTCTCTCTCTCTCTCTCTCTCTCTCTCTCGACCGCGGGCCCGTCCCGCACACTAAGCAGCCTGGCAAAGACTACAACTTAGCCTCTCACTGCAACTCCCTGACCCCGTACGCAAAACACCTCTGGCAACGGCAAAAAGAGATCCCATTGACACCGCATTTGTGCATCTCGAGCACCATTGGTCGAATGAAGCGCTCCATGTCCTTACAGGAGCTGCAGCTTGTGCACTGTCTGTTGGATCCAAGCTGGTTTAGTTCACGGGCAATACAAATGTCTCCCATTTTGCAGAAATGCCACTCTGTCGCCGAACTGCTTGAAAACAGTCGCACCCCTGCCAGCAGGATTGGCTCGAGTAGTGTCAAGCCGAAGTACAAACACGGCATTTTTGACAAGCAGCTATGCAGCGGTCCAAAAGCAGGCCTCATGGTGTCGAACAGAATCCGCTCCCATGCTGAGTGCTTTGTCCACAGCTTCTCCTGGCAAACGGGACGGTCCAGAGCGTCGCATGACACTGTCCACAACCCCTGGTGCCATCAACGCAAAGGCCTGTACGACTGCATTCGTCCAACTGGCATGCTACGCTTTCTGAGAATGGCACCTCTAGGACCTACGACGACTACACCGCAACGATTTCAAACGGAGAAGTCCTTGTAGTAGCCTTTCGTCCATGGCTCGGCACAAACACCGCCACGTCTAGGCCGCACAAACGGCTGCACATCGATGACCTGACACGAAAAACAAGGGGGCAAGACCAATGCGCACGCTGAACAAGCCTTGTCGGAGGCAGAATGATGATAACCACTCCCGACGACATGTACCAAGCGCACAGGCCTCGTCATCCTCTTCTTCCTCATCTTCAGAGAAGAAGTCTTGGCCGAGTCCAAAGGACTGCGTCCTGCGCCAACCGCCGAACTTCGCAGGACACGCTCTCGCACAGGCTGAAACACGCTTGATCTACCGCATCCTGTTTGGCAAGAACTGAGACGATCTATGGCACTGCACGAAACACAGCCGCAGTCCTGCCGTACTTCCCCGATGGACTAGAAGTTGGATGGGGCATGACCCTTGCATTTGCCCGAGCATGTTCTTCACGCGATTAGGAACAAGTGTGAGACTCTAGGCCACACCTCCTAGATTTACAGACATCCGTGCGCCCGAACGGGTTCCGGGGACTGCGCCGGCAGGCTTGCTGCAAAGGCTGCTTTCTATCAAGGCAAGATCCGAGGCAAGCGCATGATCTGCCGTGAACCGCATGTATGCATCTGAGCCGCACCGACGAGAGCGCGGTCTTAGCGCTCCACGGCCATAGGCTTCAAATCCTTCAGGGGCTCTTTAAGCCAATTGTGCCGTGTCTGCAAACGGTATCTCCATCATGACGGCACGACGGACACCGTCTCCGAGGACATCCACTATAGGCGTTGAATGCCGGCTCTGCGACCACCCTCCCGCAGTCCCCAACGTCCTCCTGCGAGCAAGGACGCCCAGTGCCCGCGTTGTTGAGCCAGGCAAAGCTTGCGGTGGAGCAGACGGTAGATGTCTCAACATGAAAAGTCCGCCACTCTTCCACTGTTGACATCTGCTGACGATCTTCGAGAAGTTGCAGCATTGGTCCCACGGCTCGCAAGTTCGTGAGCATTCTGCAAGGCATGGGGCGTGCTTTAAAAGATCTACAGGCTCAGGCAACCTGCATGCCTCCGAATGCCTCCGCTACGCACCTCCCACCTGGTCCCACTCCACTCGGACAGTGCCGAACGCCTCAGCAAGAAGCGCACAAGAAGCAGCGCAGCGAAAGCCCAGACTCTCGCAATATTCGCCGCTAGTGGGTGGAGCAAGTATCAAAGAAAATGCAAAAATTGCCGCGCGGAAGCACTTCCCATGAGCCTATGCCTGAGGCCTGCACCCTGCGAGGGAGGGCTCCCTCACGAACTGCCACGAGCGTAGTGAGGGGTCAGAGCCTCCTGTGCATCGCCGGGAGAATCGGAGCTTCAACATGCTTCGCTTCGCTTCTTCCGAGTTCCAAGCCATTCGATGCCAACGATCTGCAGGACCTCAGACAGATGTGCCCATGCATCGATGGTTTCAATCCGTCCATGTGCCGATTTGTCGCAAATGCCTTGATGAGGTGCGAACTGTCGTTTCTCTCAAGCGGCCCGTTCAGCCGTTGGCATGCAAGTCTCAGACATTTTGGGCTGATGCCTAAATTGCAAAAAAAGTATACCATACAGTGCATGCCAATCCATAGAACCACTCCTCCACAGAAAGAACTTACTTCGCGGCACAGCCCAAAGGTGAAGCGGTGACGAGACGTGACGGGCAGTGGATGTTCCTCTTGCCCACGCGTGCCACCAGATTCCCACAAGCTGACAAGCACACAGCTCGCAGAGCTCATGAGCCTTTCTCACTCACTTGTTTTGCCGCTTGCCTCAATACTTCCACAACCTGCCATCTGTAATGCAATGCACAAGTCGGACGAGAAACTGGATCTCACATACCGATTCGCAAAGAGGTGTTCAGACGAGTGCTTACTTTGTGCCATGCGATGACCTTGCTGTTCAGAGTGCCCTCGGCGTGGTCGATAGCCCTTTGGCCATTCTCATCCACAGCATTCACGTCCTCGGGAAGTTGGAAACGCAGCAAGCAAGACGAGCGAAAAAAGACTGGTGCTGACTCGACCCATGCTCTTGGAGTCTTCATTCAGCCATACGGACACAAACGTGGAAACGCATCCTAGCGACAGCTGAGGCTGCGCATAGAACCTTCACACAGTCGATCTGCTGGTTCATGGCAGCGAACCTTGCTAGACGAGACTGCCGTTTATCATGCTTTGTTCTTCGGGCTGCGGTGCCCTGAAGCCCAACCCGGAAATGCCCAGGCACATGAGCGGTGTTTCCCCCCTGGCCGCAACAAAATTGGGGACGTAGCACGGCATGTCACTGAACGACACCCTTCCTTCGGTCATGGTCTACTATCAGCTCAAGGGCACAGAAGCCGCCAGCCTCTGGGTGTGCGCTTCGAGAGGGCACTTGTGTTGGATCAACAAGGAAACGAGCTCCTGTACTGGCACAAGAATGTAGATGGAATGGGTGGCACAGCAAAAAGCATCCATACACGAAGAACGTGTGCAATGCTGCAGTGAGCCCAGGCAAGAGGGAGAATATGACCCAAGCCGTGGTTGATATGGGCATTTCGGCATGAGCCTACAACATTCCAGAAGGAAAGACTCTCGGCATGACACACGCTTGAATGTCGCAACAGGTGCGGCAGATGCTGCACCAGTGTTTGTCGACAAATGCTTCAAGGAAGTGCAGAATAACAAATAGTAGCGGGACAGCATCGAGAGATATGGCATAACCGTGTATGACATGGCATGTCCAACATGGTAAGCAGGTCTCGCAAGTTACCCCTGCAAGGAAGCACGCAAGCAAACTTGCGAAAGAACACCCCATGGCTGTGTCACGGAAGACAATCAGGGCTTGCGGAGACGGCAACACGATACAGCGAGCAAAGTAAGCGCCTCAACTCGGAACATTCGGCATCAACCTGCTGACCTCCGGGATAAAACGTCAAAGGGGACCCAGAAACAGAACATGGCGTCCTTGTTGCCACACTGAACGGCACCAAAAAGGCCGTTCTGTCCATCTGCATCCTGGTGCTCGATCTTAGCCCGGGCAGCCAGAAGGTCCTGGGATCAAGAAATCATCAACCCACTTACATTGTGATGCTCAAAAACGTCCAAGCGCAGGGACAGATGTCCGGCCAAGGCTCCGCCACGACGGAATCGCGGCCGACTGCGCATGCCAGAAGCAGAGCTGTCTTGCCACCCTTGCTCGGCAGATCCACCTGGAACAAAGCCAGAGGTGGTGCAACACGCGGGTGAGACGACTACTCCCAAGCCAGAGCGCGCCTTCGCATCTCTGCTGATGAGGCCGCGGACTACAGCCGTATGCCTTTTCACAAGAACTGCCCCGATGTTGTCATCGTCGTGTCCGATTCTACATCTGTTCTGATCGAGACAAATGTGCCAGTGTACCCCATGGCTGCTGCCCACATAAGGGCAGTTTGGTGCTCAGAGTCCAGCTGGTTCACCTGACAGGAAGCGCCGATGTCTGCTTCGGCTTTCTGCTGCTGCACACGCCGTGTCCACCCCACCGAGGGACTTACCAAAACGCGGCAACGTGGAGCTATTGAATCGCTGATAGACACGAAAGCAAGGAAAAACTACGAAGTCTGAAGGGAGGAAGGAGGATCGATAATGTAAACATTCGGTGGGAGGTGCCGCAGAAGGTCAATAAGCAGGTGCAAGAGGAGGGGTCTTGCGGGCGGGCGCCAATGGCGAAAGGAGTTGCAGAGAACAGTCAAGGCCTGCGCCGCAGTTAAACAAAGGGCTTAAAGCCCCAAGAGCAAGCCCAGAACTTCAGCAAGGACCAGCCAGTGGCAGGGGAGAAAAGGGCCGGATACTGATCCCGGCAATCTCAGAGCTGCCCTGGAGACCCCAACGATTGTGAAAATGGCCTTTGCACCCTCTTCCAGCAAGAAGTCACACACTTCCTGACGGCAAAATCTTCGAACTCATGCGCTCATCGAGTGAACCCGTCATCTCAAGCAGTCTTGGCACAGATCCCGTGACTGCTCCAAGCAATCTTGAACACTAGAGATAGACGATTTGAGTGTGTCGCCGGAAGCTATACGAGACTGAGTAGATCTAGACTCTGGGCCCAGCAGAAGAGAACTAAGACCAGCTTGGCTTCCCAGTGCCCGTTTGCTGCAGCTTTCATCAGCGCTGACTCACCGCGTTCGGTCACCTGTGCCGAGGGCAATCTCTACTGTCTTGCTGCTATGATGGGAAAAATAGCGTGACAGAGCTGCATAGTCCGCAGCTGCGTCATAGCTCTTGACGAGCATGTCCTGGGAGCATGCACCACTGGTAAGACATTCGCCACAGGAATGCTGCAGGCAAGGTGCACAAATGTCAACGTTTCCGGCCAGTGCTGCCCACATAAGCACCGTCCACCCGTGGTCATCTTTTAAGGTCTCGGCAATGCAACAACCAAGCGACTTCAACATGCAACACCCGCTGCTCAAACAAGTGCACATGTTTGGGTCATCCACGTCGAATCCAAGAGTCCAGGGAAGCTCCTTCTTCGATCAACTGGCGCGCTATTTCCTGGGACGAAGAGCCAAAAAACGCCCGCAGACGCTAAATCTCAATTCTCTGGCTAGGCTCAAGCTCATCGCTTTCGGCGGCCTTCCTTGGCTGGACTTTCCGTTGCACGTCTCTGCACCAGTGTGACCAAATGCTTTTTGCGGGTAGTCTGCATCAGGGCTGTCACACCTTCGTCATCTTTGACGTCCAGCACGCGCTGCTTCTCGATCTGCAAAAGCTTGGCGCTGTCGGAGCCCATGATGCTGCTGCTCTTCTTCCCTCGGGTCCCGCCAGAGCTGTTCTTTCTGGGACGGCCCAGGCCCACATCAACGTCAATCTGCCAAGCTGCGTTGGAGCAGCTGCGCATCGATGAGGAAGCGGATCACATCGACATGCCCAGATTTGCCTTGCTCTGTGCTCACACATGTGTCAACACCGCAGCTAGAAACCAAAGCACAGGCGTCACCACACGGGGCTGCCAGGCTGCAAGCCTTCATCAGGGCGGTTTCGCCTGTATCATCTTTGGCAGAGACACGTGCACCCTTCTCCACTAGGAATTTGACGACCTCAGCATGCAGGAACTAATTCGGGATTTGAATGAAGCAGTCCTCACACAACGCACAAATCTAAAAACAAGAACCCGTTTGCAAGCCAGCCACGTGCATGTGGCCGGCCTCGGCGGCATACATCAAGGCACATGTGCCTTCCGAGTCTTTCTGGTCCACTTTGACCTTCGGCTCCTGGAACCGGCACACCGATTTGGCAGCGAGAACAGCACCGGTCAGCTTTTCGAATGCCACCACAACATGGGATCTCCCGTCCGTCAAAGCTCGCTGACAAGCATCCACCGAGCCATTCTTGGCAGCCTAGCTTCCGACCACCGCAGCATTGCAAGCAGAGCTCAAGCTCTTGCCAACTGACGAAGCACAACCGCACTGGCCTCGATAAGCGGGTGAGTTGTGACGGTGACACCCTTCCCCTGGTGGTTCTTCAAGGCAGCAAGGAGGTTGCTCGTCATGGCATGCTGGTCGAACAGCTGAAGTGAGTTGGAAATCTGCGATGCTTTTTCCTGGCATGTCAGAAGCCAATTGTTTTTTGCTGCATGTCTTTGTAGGTCCTGAATGGATTTCCTGCTTGTGGTAATTAATTATTGCGAGGCTGTAAAGGGCTCTGCGGCTCAGCTTTGAGCAGCTGCAGGAACGTGCGCAAATCGAGAAGGAGTCTGTGCCCAGCACACAACGCCGACTTCCCCGAACATGCGCAGTCAACGACGTGTGAGCTGATCGGAGGAAGCCTTGACGTTGGGGGCTCGAAGCATTCTGGCTGTCTCTTGGTTGAAACTTGGGCTGACGAGGTTTTGCCACCTCCCGTGCGGAACTCGTCCGAGTCTAATCGATCAAGAGTGTGAAGGTCCCAGGGGGCGAACGAGCTCTCAAAGGTTTTAGAAGCTGAGGTCTGGGCTGTGCATCCTCGGAAGAGTGCGGCGACCGTGGGCCCTGGCAGCCGAGGCCGTGGGAAGTTTGCAGAGAACGAAGCCCTACGAAGTTCACGAGGGTTTTCATGGCAGGCGTCGAAACCAAGCAGGTTGGCAGCGACTTGCAACCTGCTTTTGTCGAATCCTGAGCTCTGGATCCGGCCAACTCTGAGTGGTTAAGCAACAAAAACAGGACCTAGCAGAAAGGCCGACCGATCCCCTCCGATCTCCCAGCTTCTAGAGTCTAGTGAGTCGAGTCTTCATCCGATTCATCTCCATGAGCCTCCTCTCAGTGCTAACACAGCTCGACGCAAGCACTCCGTGAACTTTGCGACTAGTCGGAGCCTGAGGCTACTGCGTTGCTTCAAAACCTTCTGAGACTTTTAAGCCTTCAGAGCTTGGAAAACCAAGGTAAAAAGGCGTTTACCAGCTTGGGTGGCAGTCAGTCAGTCAGTCAGTCAGTCAGTCAGTCAGTCAGTCAGTCAGTCAACTTCCCCTGCCCGGAAAATGATACCGGCCGACTTCAAAGATCTCTCAAGTAAGAAATCAGAGAAACCCAAGGAACCAAGAATTGCAGAGAATCAATCTGCTTCGTTGCGAGGCAGAGCACGCTGTTAGAAAATGCTAACATGAGGTGAAAATGATGAGCCACATGATAAAGTAGCTCATGTTGGTATCTCCAAGCCAATCTGCGCAGCAAAATCCTTAATTACAAGCATAGTCGGCTGATCCTCCGCTGTGCTGTATACAGAGGCATCGTAATCCAGCAGTTGTTCATCCACTTGCTAAACGGGTGAAATGATATACTATATACGATTCCCGAAGTTCTTAGTAGGGGATGGGCCTGTGTCAGCCGCTTCGGCAGAAAGGTTAGGAAACCCAGTGTCTCATGGAGCAGATTTCCGGAAGCATGCCAAAGGAGACCTGTAACAGCTGCCACGGTTGGCCGGGTACTGTGACGAGTGCGCTCCTGAGTTGCAGTGGATGTCATCACAGGTCGTGCCGACACACAGCGATCGTGACCGTCCTCCGCATTGCTTCGCAGTTGGCGGCTATCGCGCTACCTGAATGACATCAACACTTCACTATGTCACTAGGCCTGTCACATGTGCAAAGCCCTCAAGCTCTAGTCTGAGGAAAGCGCAAGCAAGACAGCTTCTGAAGGGTCGGGCAGTGAGCCAATATTGCTGCCGACACATCGCAATGGAACTACGGAGTGAGGAAATGAAGCCGCAGTGTGCAGCCCTCAGGACGACGGAAGCTGGAAGCTGCTGCTTGAAGCTTTTCACGCTATTTCACGTTTGTCTGTTTCCGGGCGCAGATATCATCTGGTCCCACTGGATTGTGAAACACGATGAAACATTGAAATCCCGCAAGTCCCTAAATTTTCCGGGGGTGGCATATTGCCACTGCACCACATCTTGGCCCTTGCGCTGTACAGGAGATTCAGTGGTCAACATTTGTCAACACGAACCCCGATAAGCTCTTGTAGCGTATCTTTGTCTTTGTTGCCCAAGCAGGCAAGAACAAGAATGAGGACCGTTGAAAACTGCGGCCCTGATGGTCACACACTTGTCAAAGAGGATGGCTTGAAATGGGCTCTGAAACGGCTACTGCAGAATCAAATTCTTCAAGACTTTCTCCGTTTCCTTTTTGGGCTCAACCGTCGCTGTCGTCACCTGGCCATGGCCGTGTGCCAGTCGTGAGCTACACTCACAGACATCTCCAGTCTCTAAAGGCACTTCGTAAGCATCACAGAGCGTGTCTGTCAGTGCCCACCTTCGGCAGCAGGCCTCAGATTTTCTGCTGGCAGATACTCGTGTTCCCCGGCGGCCTGCTCTGTACTTGACGACATCAAGTTTGAGGCAAGCTGCGAAAGGCTGTCAGATTCGGATCCACCCGAGCGACCCATGAAGCTGCCGGCCTGCAGAGATTAGGCAAGATAAGGGCAACCCGAGGCAAGACAAAACAAAAAAAAACGATGCAGAAACAAACACACGGGAGCTTGCCACGGTGCCACGTATCCAGCTCAGCTAGCAAGGCATTCTTGAGTCTATTGTTCCTATGCGTTGTTTCTTTTGATTGCATCGCGCACTTCCTGGCTATTGACTTTCGCTTGCTGGTTCGCCCTTGCAGGGGGACCCTGCAGACATCTCCACCCTGACCGCACTGACTTGTAGATTCCCCCGTAGCCGGTCCCAGCGCCTTGTCGTTATGCAAGAACATTTGAATGTCGCCGCGAAGACTGGCAAGTTCTTTGAGCCTCACTGTTGGCGACACGCTTCGGCAACGTGCCTTCATCAAGGAGGATCAAACTCAGTGCACCAGTCTGCAGACTAGCTGCATGGTGAGGCTTGAGTCCTAACCAAATTGTCTCAACAGGCCATGGGGTCACGTCATTCACATCTTAGCCTTGTAGCGGAACGAAACACGGCAATTTCTCACAGGTCCGGTGTCCTCTGCATACTGTTTCAGCATCTTCTTCGTCGCGCGAATCCTTGGGCAAGCACTGAAGTTTCGAGTCCGTGCCCTGGACTCCGTTGATACTTGTACGACGGCAGGCGGGCCTTCGTTGCCTACGCCTGCGTTCTATGGCAGCAAGACAAACGGCCACACACATCCTTCGAGATGCCTACCCCATTCGGTCAAGGCACTGCTCCTTGCAGTCTTTGACGGTGGCTGGGTTTGTCCCACGCATGCTGAGCATGAGCTCGACCTTCACTCGCAAGCTGACGAAGTGCTGCCGCTCTATGCTTTACTGCATCGGTCATGACCTCGTCGGCTGTTTCGATTCACAAGCTTTTAAGAAGAAGACTGAACTTCCCTTGACAAACTACACATTCATAGGCGATGACCAAGATGGTCCATAAGCACAAGCCAAGACACGATTTCTGGAAACGTGATGCCATTATCACCTGCATCGCCATGTCGTGGCAACGTTCAATCACTGCCGGAGGGATGGCAAATCGTGTCGACTGGCTAAGGACGTCATCCTTCCGCTGCAAAAGTGCAAGGAACCGGCGTACAACGCTTCGTCCTGCTGTGTGTAAGTAGGTATGTATGTACGCATGTATGTATTTATCTATCCGTCTATCTTATTTACCTCTCTATCTACTTGTCTTCTTGTTTTGTCTACGATGGCCGGAATTCGAGCTCATCACGGACCGGTCCAATAGTAGTCCAATGCGTGACTGCCACTCCACGCACATCTTCATTTAAACCGTCTTCAATGTTGCTATTTCTTGCATTGCATGGTCAGGCACCCGTGAGGACCCTCGCGACCTCATCTTTCACTATGACCTTCTGTCTTTCCGATGCCACGGGCTATGTTGACACACTTCGCTCCTTCGCTACGACCGCGGCAGGTGTAGGGCTAGCTGTAGTGCTAACTGCTAATTACTGCTGCTGGAACTTGGGTGGGACCCTTTGCTGTCGCAAGGAGGTTGGGAAATCGTAAGGCGAAGGTCACGATGCTTGGTACCGTAGACACAAAAGCCCCAAAAGCCGCATGCGCGCACCTTTCGAGAAATCCTCGTAAACCACATCCTTGGATGAGTTCGGATTAAAAGCGCAGGGCAGCAAGGTGGGCGGTCGACGGACTTGGCTCCAATGGGCAATCCTGGTGCCGAGGCTTCTGGCTGCAACCCGGAAACCAACATGTCCGCCATGGTCACGACGTCAACGCCGGAGTCTTCGGCAACTCGTCGCACACCTGCAGTGCAACACCACTTTCGATGCTGCGGACATGGCCGTGTCATGTTGCTGCTATGAACTGTTTTGAATTTCCCTTGCGTCATGGTTTGTGACGACGGCCAGCACCACCGCCACGGCAGCAGCAGCGGCAGTGGCAACCGGTGCAGCAACAGCGACTGCAATTCAGTACATATATGCACATGAAACTAAACGACGGTCGCTGTCCGACAGCCTCAGCACCTGATGGACGATCATGTTGAGATTGGCATGTCATACCTCATAGCTGTCCGTCTGTGCCTGGTTCCATCATGAATTGCGCGAACTCCTCCCGTGTGAGGCAAACGTCCTGCAGCAGCAGCATGACAAATAATCCGTGCCACAGGCAATCCATTCGTAGTGGAGTCCTGGTGGCGGTTGGATTTGGCCAGCTCTTCCCTGCAAGAGCTGCACTCACATCGAGACTGGAGTGTTTGAACTTGCTCCGACTGCTTTGGAACTGATGCATTCAGCGTTCAAGCTTGCAGCCACTGCCGCGGAGCTCACGCAAGCCATCCGTTCGACCCTGCCTAAGCTCTCCTGCAATGAAAGCTGTGGCAAGCCTCTCCTGCGCTTGAGAGCGAGCAGCAACATGCCGATTGCTCTGCAACACGACACTGCAGACTGACCGGCACCTTCTCTGATGCAGACACAGCGCTCATCACCTGCAGCACACGGAAAAGGCGGCGTTTGACAGACCAAAACCCGCACACTCAGCTCGCAGCATCAACCAAAACTCCCAACAGCATGTACATGATCGTGAGAGATGCCTCAGCATTGCTTTCATGTCAGTGAGTTCTACTGATTCGCTTAATTCCCTAAACGTTCGGTCCATCACCTGTTCCAAGCTTGTGGCTCTGAGGATCGACCTTCAAAGCTCACCCTGTGAAAGGCTCTTGGGCAAGGAAACGAGGTCTCGGGTTCAGGACAGGAAAAATTCGTTCTTATGAAGATTCCTATGGTCTTATGGGAAAATGCTCCTAGTCGGAGTTCTGACGGGGTGGCACTCTCTGGGTTGGGCCTAAGTTGACTGAAAATCGGGATCTGGCATGTGGTGGCGGGAAGATAGTTGTACCCACCTTCCTCGACCTGGACCCGTTCGTGCCCGCTTCTCAAGGGAAGACCGGACCAACAGGACCATGTGAAACTTTCCCAGGCACCTCGTACTTTCGCACTTCTTTTTATGCAGTTGCCATTGCAGCCTTCTTCTTCTTCTCCAGAGCTGTAATGATGTACTGCCCCGTTGGGGACTTCTTGAGGTCGTGCACCGAGGCCTCGCGATCCGTCATTTGCCGACTTGAGTGCCACTTCCCACTTCCCTTGGCCCACGCGCCTCGAGGCGCTGGCAGAGGTTCTCCCAGTCAGCACCACGGCTGTACTCAATGATCCGCTGGACCGTGTAATTGCCGAACCGGTCCTACAGTGCTAGCAAGCCAAGCGGCCAAGTACCTAGCAACCGTGACCGGCATTTTGGGCCCACCTTCATGAGCTTCGCAATGGGCGCAGTCGGGTCGGAGGGAGTGCCGAGCATTGTGCGCATCAGCGCAGACCTCGGTTTGCAGCCGACTCGTGCTTTCACACCGGCACCCCACCCGGTGCCTCTCTTCCGAAAGCTCGTTGGCGTGGACGCCGATGGCAGTGATTTCGAAGCACTTCTCAACCACATTGCTCGACACCTCCGCATGATGGTACATGTCGAGCACATCTGACCCGAATGCTTGCCGCAAACCTATAGTCGTGTTGCACCTTGTTCTTGGAGAAATCCAGCAGGCTCTTGGTTATCGCCTGACCAAGTCGGAGCTGCATCCTTGAAACCACCGACAGAACCACGCCTGAACAATTTGCCGCTTGTCCTTTTCGCGTCCTCTCTCAAGGACGCACTGAATAACCTGATCCGGAGATGATGAGCAGGATCCTACAAGCACACTTCACGCTTCCGAGCCACATAGTTCGCATGGCTGTCCTGCAGGGTCTAGGCCACGCGTTGGCATGAAGACCCTGGTATCATGATAGACTCGAGCCGGCGAAGAGCTTTCCTTGGAGAGCTTTCCAGCCGAGGCGACGATCGGGTCCAGGACAGAGGCCAGCTGCTCTGCATCGCAGTTCTCCAGGAGCCTCTGAATGATGCGGCAGCCATACCTCACAGCCACGATCCACACCTCAAAAGAGAGTAGCTTGACAGTTCAGCTTCTTCGAAACACGCTTGGGCACATGTGTGCCGCCATTTCTGCTGCCTTTCCAGCTATGGCAGAGATGACGAACTCTATGTCGTCTGTGCTCAGTTTTTCCACAATCTTCTGGACCACATGGTTGCCTTAGCCGGCACATCCTCTCGGACTTGATTGTCTCGGACATGTAGGAGCCGCAAGCTGGATGTCTTTCTGGAGCCCAGCATTTCTGAATTCCGCAACAACAAAATCCCTCCACCGCCACAGACACAGAGGTCGTGACTAGGGTTAGCTGATCAACAGCACATTCTCGAAGCTCTCCGGGCCCGCGGCCATGCATATCGTAGATGCACTGGACAATTGTGTCCGCAAGCTCGGCGGCAATCTCAGACTTCTTCTGTGCAGGCAGAACTTCCAGCATCTTCTGTATCACGCGGCAGCCGAACTTGTGCTCAGAAAGTTCAAGGACCTGACCAACTCATGCTTCTCCGCAACACTGGAGGAGATTGACGGGATGAAAAAGCAGCTGAATCTCAGAGTCGGCACTACAGTAGACGCTAGAGCTCGGAAGCTAGGCCGCACGACGTCGAAGGAGCGAAAGCCATGGCTGCCACCAAGCCGCATGACCCTTGACCTTCGAGAGCATGACCTGGTCAGGGCCGGGTTGACCCGGGTTGGCCTCGGGCCCGACCCGATCTGCGGCCACAGTCTGGCCTCGAGCTGCTCGGCGGTGCCGTGCTCGAGGAGCTTCTGCACCACAAAGTTGCCGAAGGCGTCGCTCGCCAATTTCACCTCTTCGCACCCGAATGTTCACCCTCAATCCATGCGAACCTCACTAAAACCGTGGTCCGGCCGTGTCCGCCATGGCCAGATTGTAAATCTTGGCTTTTTCTTCTGCACTGCAGTTTCCGGCGAGCTTCCACTGAAGGAAGCGACTGCCCTCCTGTTCCTGCAGACCGCATGGAGCCGCAGCCGCAACACAGAACTTGGACGTTGCCCTCGGTCCTTCGCAGCTTTTGTCAGCCGCGGGAACACCTGGAGCACAGAAGTCGGAAGTTCACACTCCAGGTTGTATCTCTGCTTGCCGCTGCGCCGTATCGCGACCTATGCCGGATAGCTGCCTTCCTCCTGAATGCGCCTCTATGCCCCAGTCCGAGAGGCAAGTGGAAACATACAAAACAAACCGCACACAAAGACAAGCTCACGGCCGCTCCTCTGACAAGGTGAGGTTGATATCTGCCCCATTGATGACGGCGCCGTCATCAGGAGATTCGTCCCGCTGCTTCTTTCCCCGGACCTCGTCCTGTCAGACTCGCCGGAAAGCGAAAGTCTGTAGCATGAACAGCTCATACTATGTCCGTATCTACAGCGGGTTGTGAGAAGACGTCACACCTCCTATCCCGACCTTGTTCTTCTTGGAGCCCTTTCCCCTTCTTGGTGAACGGCTCCTTTCGGAAGCACCATGAAAGGCACGGCATGCCTGACTCAGACTGCCCAGCAATACAGAGGCACATTCTAAGGTTTGGAACCTGAGGCATCCCGGACGAATCTGAAGTTGAAGTGTCGAGATCGTGCGTAGCTTTGCAAACCATGGCAGAACTCGACTGCAGCTGTGGTCAGCGTCTCCTGCGCGAAGGCTCCCTGCCACCACTTTTCAAAGAGGCGACATCGATTTTGCCAACTGTTGATGCGACTGGCCCGTGCCTTTCGGATGGCGCAGGGTGCGGATAGCCTGCCGGCGGGTGGGCCGGCGGAGGATAGTGTGGCGGGTAGCCTGGCGGTGGATAGCCGCCTGGCTGCAGCGCACATCTGTTGTCCAGTGCATCATACATGAGCTGACTTCACAACCACGCCCCAACACAACACAAGCTGACACTGTCCTCATTCTAGTTCTTTCCCACCTGCCCAGATGATCAAGTCGCACCGCAGGGAATCTTAACTCAACAGTGGGGTGCATCCTTGTACGTCACCCCTTGCTCTACATCTGATAGTAAACTTTCTAAACTCATGCGCCTGGTGGATGATATGCCGGTGGGGCACCATATGCAGGTGGTGGATAGCTGTAGCCCGGCGGCGGATAATATCCGGGATATGCTGGCACATGGTAGCCGTGCCTTCCGTAGGGGTCGTAACGCGCATCGTACGCAGGATAGGAAGCGTAGGGCCCGTAAGGGTCCCTGTAGTATTCATCATACCGCCGCCCGTACGGGTCATGTGCAGACCTGGCCGGTGGAACGCCTGCATAGGGGTCCTGACCAGAAGCCTGACGATTGTCTCCGCCCCAAGCAGATGCAAGCTCATGCTTGGATTGCAAGTCGTCCGCCATGCTTCCAGCCATGGAGCTACAGGTGCATGAGTCAGGTGTTGGGCTTACTGATGGAGTCCGAGTGAGCCTCACATCAGAGCTTTACCCACCGCCGAAGAAAGCGACTACAGAGCTAATGGCGATGGGATGTAAACAAGTTGGGTGAAGGTTCGGCTGGGCGTGGGGTGCATGATCGTGGCTTCCATTGTGTAATACAGCTGCTGCGATCCGCAGCACGCAGAACACCTACGGATGCTAAGTGGTGCCGGTCACCAAACTTCCCGACCCTCCAGAATGGGCAAATATCACGGTATTGTAATCCCTTAGTAGAGCAATCAAACTCGAGCCTGGAGCCGTTGCACTTATGCATTGCATCATAACGAAGACACCCCAATGCTGCGGCTCGATTGTGCAGTGTTGGGAACTCCGTGATTCACCAACTCAGATGTTGCATCTTCCTGGGATCCCTGGCGCACTGATTTTGTACGCCATGGGATGCTTCTTTTCAGGACTTCCCTTACATGTACACATACGGGTCCTCTGCAAGCAATCATCTCACCTAAGACGGCATGGTGGTAGCTTCTGCAATACCACTGCCATCACAGGCTCAGGGTTCAGGACAGGATTTCAGTGTTGTGAACTTCGCATATCGGGGGTACCGGTATCGGCCGATTTCAACAGGGACAACTTCACCAAGCATCATAGACTCGAACAGTTCTCATTCACTTGCAACTGCTACAAGCGCGACATTGCATGTCGTGTGACGTCCTGAAAGCTGCGGATGCCACCACTGATTCAATGGTAATCACAACGACACAAATGCTGTAAGTCACGGCAAGAGATACCTACAGAGAGAGAGAGAGAGAGAGAGTGAGAGAGAGAGAGTGAGAGAGAGAGAGAGAGAAAGAGAGAGAGAGAGAGAGAGAGAGAGGCAGGAGCATGCGCCTCTGCATCATGCATATCTACATACTGTCTACAATGCGAAATCATCAGATTTCCGTTAATACTTGAGGAGCGGGGCCAGGGAACGAAAGCTAGCCTAGGCATGCCTAGGCTGGAGGGACGGCAAGCGACCCAGAGCTGGCGAGGCGGGCTCCAAGCATCATCACTTCCAACCACATCAGCAACAGCAGTCAGCAGAGCTGACGAGGCGAAGCTGGCGAGGTGGGCTCGAGCCATCCTCACATGCAACCAGAACCGCATTAGAGGAAACAGAGATGGCATCATCACCTCCAACACATGCAGCCACATGGGAGGTGAGAGGGCCTGTTTTGATCCATATATCAAGTCGTTTGGG